TAAATTAGATGTGCTGCCCTCACAGCTCTAGGGTTAGCTTTCAAGGGACTTCCTACTCTTTCTTTTTTAATGTTTATAGTGAAATCAAGAAGGGAATTAGTTGTTTGCTATGCAAGGTTGGCTGTGCATTGTGAATGCTGGTTGCATTCTGATATCTGTCATTACTGACTGAAAAACTGGTTCTGAGGCTGCAGCACTGCTGTCTGAGCAGAGCAATCTCAGAAAAGGCTAAAGCTGTTCCCATGTTATGTGCTCGGTGATAAAAAAGGTAGCTAAAACCATTACAGTGAGCACAGGCTGATAAATGAGAGCACTGCAGAGTCTCCAAAAGCCCGTGTCTGTTGCTAATAGTTATCGGAGGTAACGCAAGAAGGGTGTAAAATCCTCAGCATCGCCTTCAATTTACAAATATCATCTGTCATCTCTTTTTTGTGGTGTTTTTCCCCGTTTCTCTGCATTTTGCCTTGACAGTTTTAATATTGAGCATTTGGTACTAAACCAAATCACCCAGCTGAGTCATCCAGTGCTTTTCCTTTCCTCTTTTTACCTTATCTAGATGGACTTCAGTTTGCATCAGGCAGGGACACCATTCTCAAAAAAAAACACCTCTTCCCTTTCAGCTCATTTAACTGGATATTTCAGCAGGTTTGGGAAAAAGGCTCCTCAGCCCTTTGCAAGTGCTTTCTATATCTTGGTAGTTTAAAGAGCCTTTTGCCTTCCTGAGAAGTGGTGTCTGCTTTTTTCTCTGCAGATAAATTGTGTATTTGTTGCAATACTAGATCACACAAACTCCCAATATCCTGACCATATTGTCCCCATTTGTTTCTTTTATCTCTCTGTTTAATATAATAGGAATAGTGGCTGAAGCAGGGAAACATATGCAGCAGCATAATAGTATATTGTTTGAAAGCAGTTGTCTTCCATTTCCAAGGTTTCTCTTTGAAATGTAATTGTCTGCTAATATAACTGGGAAATATTTGCAGGAGCGATCACTAAAGCATGTACGTGTGCTTGTAGTTCACTTTACATCTGTATAGGATTTAAAAAAAAACACGTGGGTGCTACCTTAGCTAGTTAAATATCATTGGTGAGGTATGTTTGCAGCAGTTGTGATAGGCATATTGTCACCGAGTGTGGAAACAACTGCATGTGGTGCCAAAACAAGAGCCGAGTCCCATGTGTAATGCAGCAACAACAGAATTACAATTGCCTTGTGTAAAGTATCTGGTAATGAAGGCAGATAATGGAATTCTTTGCAAAAGCAGATGCTAACTGGCTCCCCAATGCTAGGCAGAGAACTGAAAAGTGAGACCAGCTGGAGAGGAGAAAAAGCAGCTGAAAAAGGCATTAAAAAGAAGATGCCTTAGATGCACGTTTGTTTAAGCGGTAAATAATTGTTTAAAATAATCTTATGAGATTCTTATTAAGAGGCAAACTGAGAATACGATTACAGTGTTATAGGAAGTCAGCTGGATGCCCACAGGATATTTGTATGCAGATTGGATGAGTAACGCAAGGAGACCGCTGGGAATAGCGCGGTACCATTTACACTGCAGGGCAGGCTGGTGAGGACAGCCCTTGGAAGTGTTTAATTGCAGGAGGTGGGGCTTGTGAGAGCCGGAACCTTCTGTTGTGCAGGGAGGAGACAGCACACCCTGCTAAGGGAGCCTGGATTGTAAAAGCAGGGGTATCTCTGCTTGTCCGTGCATGCAGAAACACAGACACACAAGCTGGGTAACGCTTCCCTCCTGCCGGGCTGGAAGCAGCACTCGGCAGGAAACATCTTCACTGGCTCCTCTCTAGCCTCCCACTGTTCCACCAGCCCAGTCACCTGAGCCATTTCAGACATTTGCTTCATAAATGAATGTGATCATTGAAGGAAGGGCTTAGTCCACACAGAGCTTTTCTCCTGCTGTAAGCACGGATTTTGGGATATTTTTTTTTTCCCCCCAGATACATTTTTCTTTACCCAAATAATTGTTCCCACAGTGGGGGGGTTACTGGTGCAGCTGGAGTGCTGAGCTGGGCTCGGGCTCACCAGGCTCCAAGTCCTGGCCCAGTCCCAGTAGACCAGAAACCTGAGTGGGACTCTGCCTTATACCATGCAATTGCCCTAACTGTTAGTTTTTGGAGGACTAAAACCTAGTTGTAGCCCAGCATGGAACAGGAATGTACACGTACTTCTGAACAACTAACACTTCTCCCATGTGAGAAACCATATTATGTGCTGCTGCAGTAGGAGGAAACACTGCAGAGCCTACAGACACCCTGGCACTGGTAGCCTCAGAGAGCTTGTGTCTGCAGGCAGAGGCTTGCATCAGTCTCTGACTGGGAATTTCAGGGGGCTTTACTGACAAGAAGGAAATGAGTTTTGAAGCAGACTCTGAAGACGTGCAGCATGATCCATACTGCGTTTCAGCGTGTGTTCTCCTTGCCCCTTCACCTCTTTTCTGTGTGTCCAACTGTGAGTTGCTAAAAACACGCTTCAGAGATGTGATTTGCTCCTAGCAACTGGAACTGAGATGTCTTGTCCATGTAAAACAAGCAATGGAAGGAACCATGGCAGAGCAATGGTTGGTCAGCAGCCTCCCTCCAGAGCACCCATTCCTTGCTTTATCCACAAAAGTGCAGCCAGTAAGAAATCCTCTTGCTGCTGCTGACCTGTTCTTAACATTCTCACTGCTGAGATACTCTGCAACTACTTACTGTGCTGTAATGAGTTGTTTGTCTAATTGTGGTGGGCAGAAAATGTCTTTGTGCTCTTCAGATCTGGACTCCTCTTAATGGGAAAAGGACATTAGAGCTTGGCAGTGTGGATAAACCAGGTGTGGCTGCATGTGTGCTGGTATCTGCTGGACTTTGACAGCACCGTTTTCGAGACCTTTCCTCACTTGCTGGTTTTCAGCAAGAGGCTTCTGCATACTAAACAGAAAAAAAAACCCTTCCCAAATTCAAGTAGCAAATCACACCTCTAATTAAATTTTTGACCCCATTAGTTGAGAGGTATATTAAAAAACGGCACAGCTACATGGATCACCATTTAATCCAGTTATGCGAAATTTTGGCATGTAATTGATAGTAACAAGTGAGGTTTCTAATTTTTTATGATATTCTGATTTTGTGCAGACCTCTGTAGGGCTTTAAAGCTTTCCATGGATAACATCTTACCCTTAATATACGCCCCCAGGATTTTAGGCTTAGGCTTCAGGCTACCAGGGATTTTGAGCATAGCAGGAAAATGCCAGCCTGTAAATACAGTGACAGGGGAGCTGATTCTTATCTGTGCTGCTCTGAGTGTAGGTAATGCTCTTGGGTGCATATGGTGTTGGAGACAGGAGACTGCCTCTCCTGTTCCAGTGGTCCCTGCTGAAGCCTCAGGGCTGCTGCAGCTGGTAGAATTGCTGCAGAAGGACCCTCAGAGAGGAGAGATGCTGGGGTGGACCCAGGTTTGGCTGAATCACCCTGGCAACCTGCACAGGGGCTGTGGAAAGAACACCTCTACTTCATTGTCTTTCTTCTCAGCAATTTTTATTCACTTTTAGTTGCTTCCCTCTCACCTCCCCCTGCTCTTTCCCCTTTTCCTTGTCACGGGAACATTCACTATAGTGGTTAAATCATACTAGTAAAATATACTTCCCCACTAGAATGGTAATAGCTAATATTGATCTAGCAGCTGCTGCTGCTGACTCAGAGATATAGTTGAGCATATAATATCTCTTATTTCTCTTCACAATGCATAATGCAGCAGTTTCTTTCACCTTGGGCTCTGTACTGAAGGTGACATCCAGCCACAGCAAAATTATTTGACTTTTTTAATGTGTGACCCAGCTCTGGAGCATTGGATGCAGGTGGTTTTATGAAGCTGGCTTTAAAATCTGCAAATGACAATTAGGGGGAAAAAAAAGTCACCCTGACTGTGATTGACCCTCACAAGCAATAGTTATAGATGTCTGCATGCCAGTGGTGAAAAGACATTCAGATTAAACTGTCAGCATCTGTAGACACGCACTGTGCTCCAAACAACTTTGTAAGTGTATTTCTGTCACAGAAATGGTTGAAATGTAGATGAAAGACAAATAACTACCTTAATATCAAGTGAGGCTGCATTTAAAAATGTAATCAATCATATACATCGTCACTGACATCTGCTCTGAGTAATCATCTGCACAGTAGCACATAATGTTAAGCAGAGCATGGTGAGCATATTCCTGAGTCACCAGAAAGAAGCAGAAGTAAAAGATTCTACCTGGAGATGTGAGTTTGCAGCATGTTTGCAATCTAAGCATTTCAATTGCCCACAGTGGTTAATTAACAAGCTTTAATTTTATGAGTTTCCTGAAATTGATAGTTTTGGTAAGGTAAGATTGAGGGGCCTCTGGAATTCCCTTGTTTCCCTTCGTTAAAAAAAAATTTGGTTTAGAACCAGACTGTTGTACAAATAATTAAAGTAGTGCAGTTTTATGTGAATAATATTTGCAGCTGATGCTGTATTTTGAGTGATATAAGCACAGCAAATGGTACTTCAGAGTCTATGCTGGAAAGACCTCTCTTACCAAAGAATAAATGCTGAGAAGCCATCTCTGAGCCTAGAGAAGAGAAGCCTCTGGGGAGACCTCATAGCACCTTCCAGTACCTGAAGGGGCTACAGCAAAGCTGTGGAGGGGCTTTGGACAAGGGCTTGTAGAGAAGACAAAGGATAATGGATTGAAACTGGAAGAGGGGAGATTCAGATTAGACATTAAGAAATTCTTCATTATGAGGGTGGTGAGACTCGGGCCCAGGTTGCCCAGGGAAGCTGTGGCTGCCCCATCTCTGGCAGTGTTGAAGGCCAGGTTGGATGGGGCTTGGAGCAAGCTGGGCTGGTGGGAGGGGTTGGAACTAGATGATCTATTAAGGTCCCTTCCAACCCAAACCATTCTAGGATTCTGTGAATTTCTAGCTTATCTGTGTGTGTTCTGCATGCAAGTTATTTTATGTTATAACTCATTTTATCTTTTTAGAAAAGATCAGGCAAAGATATGCCGAACTACCAGGAGAGTTGCACATAATTGAGCTGGAGAAGGACAAAAATGGGCTGGGGCTGAGTCTGGCTGGCAACAAGGACCGCTCTCGTATGAGCATCTTTGTAGTTGGTATCAATCCAGATGGACCTGCAGGACGAGATGGAAGGATGCATATTGGTGATGAACTTCTAGAGGTGAGTGTTTCCTTTCAGTCCTGAGCAAGGTTCACGTGGAGAGAGGGAAAAGCATATGTGAAGCTATCACTTGAACCTTAACTAAAGGCTGCAAATGGAATTAGGTGGCTGAGGCAAGGAGCTGCCCTGATTTATGCCAACTGAGAACTTGGCCTTTGGCAGGTAAATGTGTTCTTAGTGAAACAAAAATCATTGGCCTGTGAAAACTAATGTCTTGTCTGTGAGGTCTGTGCTCTCAGCATGTCCACACACTGCTTAGGGAGGGACTGTTGAAGGCAGGAAGGGGATAGTAAATCTATCCTGATAGTGCCTGTGCGGTTCCAGAGGGAAATTCACACCTTCCACTAAAAGAACAAAACCCCCTCAAAGTCACCATATGTGTTTTTACAGATGACAGGGATATTCCCCACCCTGAAAATTAAATTTTGTACTGTAATCTCATGTAACTTAAAATACTTATTTTCTTTACTCATGTCTGGCACAAGTTCACCCAGAAGGCAAGAGGGCTCATTAGCAAGTACAGTATTTTGTCTTTCCTTTTTCTTCCAGCTTCTTTCTTCACCTTTGGGTTGAAAATGCAGATTTCCTAGCTTTCATCTGATTTTTGGCTGTTGCAAAATGACATTTTGCTGTGGTACCTGCAGTGGTTCCCCACGACATGATTACTTCAGTGGTTTAAAAAAAAATCAGCCATCCCTGGGGATCTTTACTTTAGAGAGAAGCTTTCACTGAAGAGCAGTTATATGCTGACCTACTGCTCTCTGTGGGTGGTGATTTTTTGATCTTTCAGCAGCTCTCTGTGCCATCAGAGAACCACCTATTTTCTCACGTTTCTTGACTTGAGAAAGAGCAATTTTGCTGCCTGGGGATACCTTGGGAGTACTCGGAATTGTCTAAGCATTTGTCATTGTCTAACAGTTCTGTAATTATGGGTTTTCAATACGCAAAGTGCAAGACTTGTTTTGCTATAATAACAACACCATCTGAAGTTGATTATTTTCTTTTGAAGTGTTATAAATGGTATGAAGGTCTATGCCATACTGATGTAGGGTGGGAAAATTACTTTCTCCCTCAAATTTGTTATTTCTGTCCCTGGCACCAAATTCTCATGGTAAAAAAAAATGTAAAAAAAAAAAATATAGAATTGTCTAATTGCCAGTTGAAAGGACTCATGGTATTGTTTTCCTCTGTGCATACCATAGACCAGGTAGTTCTACAAGTAAGATACTTTTCCACAAAAAAGGATCCACTGCAGTTTTCTTACATCTCACTGAGTCATTCCTTGCAGTGTTTGTTTGATCTAATGTGAAGTCTTGCTATCAGTACTTGAAAGGTTCACCATCACATGTATCTTGAGGCTCAGGATTTACATGCATGAGCCACGTAAATCCCAAAGTAGCATTTTCCAAAGTGGTGGTGGTGCCCTAATTCCTCTGCCTGTCAAGTTGGATACAAAATAGGTGGGTTTTTTCTTCAGTGGAAGGAAAGTGATGTTCACCATCTCAGAAGTGCCAAACTTCAAATAAACTGAAGCTCAAAGAGACTTCAGTGACTACCTGTCTTGTGTACCTTTGCAATCAAATGTAAGGTGTGTCACCAGTGGGCCACAGGGTGATTACTTATATGAAAGGATGTGGTGATCTCAGTCTAGTTGCCTGGAAATGTGTATCCAGTGTCAAAACATCCTGGATTACAAAGGCATGGGTTGTGCATGACTCATCTACAGCCCTTTCATGTTTGCCCCAGTGGTCAATTATTCACTGCTCTGTTTTTTTGCTCTTTTAAAAGCATTTCAGTGTTATGTGAATAGCATTGAAATGGAACCAATGGGCATTTTCATTGACAGGGTGTTTTGGGTTTTTTTCAATAACCCTTAGATTCTGTAACTAAGTAGTATCAGTAACTCTTAGGAATCCTCATCCCTGACAAGGATACAGGTCACCAAGGTAGTAATATCACAGAGTGGCTGGGCCTGGAAGGGACCTCCAGAGGTCATCTGGTCTAACCCCCTTGCTCCAGAAAACAACAGAAAACAGCTTTTTAAGCACAAAACCCCCTTGCTCCAGAAAAACAGCTTTTCAGGGCAGAAGGTCCTTTCATCCAACTTTCATATGTGGAGGAAAATTACTTGAGTCAGAATTTGGTCCCTGTGCAAAAAGAATGTATCTTTTACATGACAGAAGATCTGTTTTTTAATTCTTTTTAACAAAAAAGAGATAAGCCATCTGTGGTGCTCCTGCCTCCATGCCCTTGCTGTTTTGGTGCAGGTGTCTGCACTGCTTCGTGTCATATTAGTTTGGGCTTGGTCCCCCTTGGGCTGATTGTGCCCAGCATGGTCCCCAGCACCTTCACATGGGGCTGTACCTGTGCTGTAACAGCCTGCTGCTCATGAACTCTGCATGGGGCTGTCCTTTCGGTAGGTTTTAGTTGCAATAAATCATCCATCCTTTATTATTATTTTTGTTACTATTCTTTTTAAGCCACACCAAATGTGGTTTTGTTTCTATTTTTTTTTAAGAGTCTTAAATAAATATGTTATGCTGCAATAATACATTAGCCACATCAGTATTTTATCCAAGTAAATTAACTACCCAGCCAAATTAATGATGTCGCTTCTCCTTTAGGATGTGGGGGACTGGCATTTTTTTCTCTGTTTATTTGTTGTGGGATTGTTATTTTTATGCTGTTTTAAGATAGTTTCTTTGGAGTAGGCAAGTGACACTATCGCTCGAGAATGTAACTGGAATACAGAAAGATAACAGGGTTTTTGCAGTAGAACAGATTGGGTTTTTCAAGAGTATTCTTAAATTATTCACTCCAGTGGTAATACATTTTTTTAAGTCCTATTTAAACACAATAATAACTTCTGTTCTTGTTTTCATATTCCTTTACTGAATGGAACGTTGAGGGGTTGTGTCCTTCTGGTCTTTCCGAAGGAAATATTTTTTCATGTACTTTGTATGCATGTTACCAGTTCATAGGATCATAGAATCCCAGACTGGTTTGGGTTGGAAGGTACCTTAAAGATCACCTTGTTCCCTGCATGGGCAGGGACACCTCTCACTAGATCAGGTTGCTCCAAGCCCCATCCAACCTGTACTGGGCAAGAATTTTAGTGAGGAAGGAAGAATTTGCATTCTAACTATTTTTTCCTTCTGGTGTTTCCTTCTTGTCTAGGGGATTGGTCTGTTTTAATGGGCTTCAGTCTATATAAATTGACTGATCAAAAAGTTTTTTGAAAGTTTTCCTGTTGTTTCAGAGAGTCTGGGTATCTTGAAATGCCAGAGTTCCTGTGATTAGAAGGAACCTAATGCATTGTTACAAAGAAATAAATATTATAGAAAGCTAAGCCAGTTCTTTCACTAGCTTTGGGGTATAATTTAACTTGATTTTCATAAAAATCAGATTATACTAATTTTATGGATTTCCATTACTGACATATAATAAAAACAGGACTTGGTTGGGGTTTTTTTATATCAAAATATCTAATGTTTCTCTTCTGCAAATTAAACTTCAACAAGCAAACAATCCTTTAGTGTTTTTTTTTCTCTTAAGTTAAGAGTTCAGATTTCAGTGAGTTTGTACTTTAGGGGATGCAGCTGCAAAGCAAGACTTTTGTAGGTGAAGGTAACAGTACAATTGGGATATGTGATAAAATCTTCAATAAAGCAGTGTAGGGTTATATTAAAGATCAAACTTCAGTGTGCTGCCCTGACTTCATACCTGTAGCATGTTTTTATCTTTCTGTGTTCTCTCCTGTCTTTCCAAAAACTTATGTAAAGACATTTTTAAAGAAGAGTTGAGGTTGATTTACAACAGTTTATTTCTTTTGCTTAGTTGAAGCTTTGTTTTTCTTTCCTAATCTCTAATGAAAAAAAGTGCAGCAGAGGTTTGTAGGTTTTGACTCCTTTAGTACTCTTTGGTTAATCTGATGTGCTACTTTATTTAATTTGAAAGATTTAGAAGTGTGTTCCTTATGAAAATCTAGATGTTCTCTTTTTTATTCTGTTGAAGTAGGCTTTTGTTCTTTGTTCATCACTGTGGTATCTGAAGGTAAGGGAACATTAATTTACTTTGCAAATAAAGTGACCTTTTTAAAAAAAAAATAAAAAAAAGAAAAATTAATACTGACTGTAATAACTGTGTGGGACAGCCCAAAACCTTGTGGTGATATATTACTTTGATTATCCTTTCATTTTGGTGTAATTAAATAATTATAATATACAGACCCAGCTCACAACTAATTACATTTTGAACAATTTGATACATCTACTGAATAGGATTAATTTACCCAGAGTAAAGACTATAAATTTTAACCTAAGAAGTCTGCTGTTTAGGAAAATTGATGGTAATTTAACTAAATCCAAACGATTTGTAAAGCATACAGTATTCCCAGTGAATAAGTTATTTTTGAACTTAGATAAATTAAATCAACAAACTCACTGAAGGTTTCAACTCCGGCTTGAAGCCAGAATGCAACTGAGCATTCATTTTTGCCACTGGATGTTTAAAGTTATCTTTGATTAACAAAGCGTGGCCTGGGATGTTGCCTCTCACAGCCACGGCAGTTGCAGATAGGACCTTATCAAACCCTAATGAATGTTGGCACAATGATGTTTCCTCAGGGCTGAGCTCAGACTCCTGTAGACCTTTCATGGTTCTCTCTTTGAATAAGCAAGTCAGTAGGTAAATAGTTTGCATGGTGATTCTCACCTTCTGCACTGCTCTTGTATGACCCCTTTTGGAGTATTGTGTCCTGTTCTGGAGTCCCCAACATAAGAAGGAGCTTGGAGCTCCTGGAGTGAGTCCACAGAGGAGGCCATGGAGATGATGGGAGGGCTGGAGCAGCTCTGCTCTGGAGACAGGCTGAGAGAGTTGGGACTCTTCAGCCGGTAGAAGAGAAGGTTCCAGGAAGACCTTAGAGCACCTTCCAGTGCCTGAAGGGGCTCCAGGAAAGCTGGGGAGGGAATTTTGACAAGAGCTTGTAGGGAGACAACAAAAGGTGATGGATTAAAACTGGAAGAGGGGAGATTTTTTGTTTTCCAAAAGCTGGGAAAAATACTTAAAATCCTTTTTATGGATCTGTGAAAAAGAAAAAAAGATTTTCTTATTTGTGGCTTCTAATAAGACTGAATTAGCTCTGCATTGGTTCCTGGTTTATATTGGTCGAGAGTAAAGCTTGGAATGTTTTGCTATTAGTTCAGTATTTTCTTCTTTGATAATTTGGAGTCTTAAGATGCTGAAAATGTAATATTTTAATATCAGTTTTAAGGTGGTCTGTTACGGAATCAATATGAGAAGGAAGATGTTCTCAAAATCAAATGAGGGTTTATTCTTCTGAAAGGAATGATAAGAAAGCTGATGAGAAATGGTTGAAGTGTTGCTGCTGAGGTGCAGGCTACCCCCATCCTCCTCCAGTAGCTGGTTGAGGGAAGAGGTGACATCCCTGGGTTCCATTCTCGTCCTATGTGCTTATCATATGAAGTGTTCCTGCAGCATAGCAGAAAGTGCCTGAAAGAGGCTCTTAGTGTCTCAGCTCTGGTGTTTCTGCCTCTACAAGACTGTACAGACAGGTATATCTGTCATTGCAACATTGATATTCCTGTCTGTCAAAAGTTATCCAATTTATATTTTGCAGTCTACATTTTTATTTGAGACTTATCTCTTTATCCCACAGCAACTTTGGAAGTCTTGGTGGAATACATTAAAACAAGACATGATTCCCCACTTATATGAAAACCTTCATTTTCTTTTTAACAGATAAACAATCAGATATTGTATGGAAGAAGTCATCAGAATGCTTCTGCAATCATTAAGACTGCCCCATCAAAGGTCAAGCTGGTTTTCATACGGTAAGAACAGTTCTTATCAAAATATCTGGTTGCACTGTTACATTACCTGCTTACATATTTAGCCTGTTTTGAAAATGCTGAATTCCCTCAGTTCTCTTTGAAGTGAAAGAAATCTTTTCCTTGACTATTTATCTCAGGGCTGTTGAAGAGTTCTCCTTAATAATGTAAAGCAAATAAGATCTTATGTAATTGAATTACTTTTTTAGGGGTGTCTGCTGAAGACTTGAGCTGTCACCCTTGGGCTTGAGAGCACCCTGATAAAGCTTCTTCCCACAGAACTTAGAAAAGTGCTTTAGGTTGGTTTTGCCAGCACAGAGGTGGAGTGGGCAGCTTCCTTCACCCAGACTGCCAGAAGGGACTGGAAATGGTGCAGAGGCTTGGGGCTGGAGAGGGAGCTGCTGTGGGGAGCAAGCAAGTGTGGATGGAGTACTTGGAGCATGGGATCTGTGGCTGTGTAAAGAATAGCTTTGTATAGGCATCAAAAGAGGATTTAAATTATGATCTAGGGCTTATTTGTACAGGTGTGGAGACAAGGAGCACTGGGGTGGCTTCTGTAGGAGGAAATACTCAAAAAAAAACCCTTTCATCTGCATAAGAATTACATGTGGGCATCTTTTCCTTTACTCCAATCATGAAACATTTTCCTCTTTGTATGTGAATTTAAGACATCTCCATGCAGTCACTCCATAGTTTAGGAAGTGTTACTCTAATGACTCTGGGGGGGAGGTTTGGGAGGAAGCTGCCTCTATCTGAGAACTCATATATGCTTTAGTATACTGGAATGTCATAAATGTATCTATTCCAGCTGTGACTTTCATTGGACACTTTTCCCCATGCCATTGTATAATGCACCCACCAACCCATACATCATACTTGATAGTGGTTTATATTAGTCACTCACAGCTTACCTGTGAACAACCTAATAATCTGTGGGTGAATGCATATAAATGTGTACATTTGCTGGCACAGCTCTGTCTGGTACAGCATACACAGAAATGATGGAAGAGCAGCATTAGCACAGTGAGGAATGAATTGCTACACTTGGCAGCACCAAGAATCTGGAGGAGATTAATGATCTTGCCTGCAGCTCCTGTGTTACTTTTCCCAGCTATTGAAAATTAAACGTCATGTACAACAACTCACTCACCATTACTTAATTGCATGTGTCTGGTTGGATGCTCCAGAGGCAGAATCACAATTTAAGAAACCAAAACCTGGGGCTAAGTTTAGTGCTGTCAGGCAGCACAGAGAGCTTCAGCTTGTTTGTGGTTTGGTTCTTCTGGTATTGCAGCAGCTGGTGAGTTTATGCAGGAGGTGCCTTCTTTTCTCCTTGGTAGCCTCTGTGCTCAGGCTGTTGGGCACTGCTGATTGAGACCTAGCGACAAGAAAGCTGCGGAGGGACTGTGTAAGAGCATGTAACCATAGGACAAGGGGTAATGGTTTTATACTGAAGAAGGGAGATCTAGATTAGACATTAGGAAGAAATTCTTTAGAGTGAGGGTGGTGAGACACGGGCAGAGGTTGCCCACGGAGGTTGTGGATGCCCCATCCCTTGCAGTGTTCAAGGACAGGCTGAATGGGGCTTGAAGCAACCTGGTCTAGTGGGAGGTGTCCCTAACCATGGCAGGAGGGTTGGAACTAGGTGATCTTTATGATACCTTCCAACCCAAACGGTTCTGTTTCCATGTTTCCCTGCTGCAGTGGGCACTGCTGCTGGCTGCAGAGCACTGCACAGCAAAGGCTGCGTGTTGGCTCCAGTCACCCAAAGGCTGGAAATCCTTGGTGCAAATTTTTATCATGTTTAAGACATAAAGACCATGTAAGTTCTTAGTCATAATTCCCCTTTTCAGATTGTCTGGATAGAAGAGGATTTCAAAGCAAAAAGTTGTCTTAATGATCATAACTAGGAGATGCTGGAACTTTAAAAAAAAAAAAAAGTTTCCATTTTTAAATGCTGCTGAGGCTGAAAATGTACATCTTCACACTTCCCAAGGGCACACATCTTGTCACTGCTCCCGGCCTTGCATTAGAGTACACTGACAACTGATGGCTCTCTTTGCTTGACCTGAGCAGCCATTTGAGCAGCAATGAAAAGAAATTCTCCCACTGAAAGGATGTAATTAGTAACTAGAGCATTGGCTGGAACAGAGAGAAAACTAATGTTGCCTCTTTTTTTTTGATACATGGCCACCTTTCCACAGTAACAGGGGTGTCTGTCTGAAAGGTGAATTTTGGGAAGAAAGAAGAGTAGTATTTTTGTCTCGTGCAAAAAATATTCCATGAGACCACTCTGTCTTTATGCTTCCAGTTCCTATACAGAAAACCACAGAACTAGTGGATGTGATGGATGGAAAACAGAAACCACAGAGGTCTTTCTGTGGTGCAGTTGGGTAGGAAAAGCTTTTGCTTGCTTTATCAATTGGTTTCAAAATTAGAGTATAAAATGGAGGTATTGAAATGCCACTGCTTAATGCAGAGTGGTGCCAGCTGTAGTAAATAAGAGCAGCAACAAGAATCTGGAATCTCCATCCATCTCTCATCCGTGCATGGGCAATAGCTTTTCCAGCTGAGAAGAAAACGCTGAGTGTAGCAGATTCAGCCCTCCTGGTAGCTTTGCTGCTTGGCTGGTTTCAGATATGTTCCTCTGGGCTCTAATGATGCAGAAAGAGCAGGATACCATTACATTTGTTATGCTCTGAAAATGAGGAGGAGCCAGTTTCAACAGAACTACTAGTTTCCTCCTCCTGAGCACTGTTACCCATGCAACTTCATTTAAAGGTAGAAGGCCTGTAGCAGAACGTGGCCAAAACACATCCTGGTGAACAAAGAAGAGGCCACAGCTCACCATAGGAAAATAGTGTGTCCTGCAGGAGTTGAGAGAGAAACAGCTTTGGTCTTCATGTGCCTAAGGATACTAATGTTCTAATTTCACCACTGGAAGGCCAGGGTAGGTTATAGTTTTCCAGAAAGACATCATTCTGCAGCATTAATAGTTCCGTCATGCCTGCCTGAGCTGACCTAGGACATAAAAGCAAAACTGGTGGGACTCTTGGACTATTATGAAAAAGTCTCCTTCTTGGTATCCTGAGGCTTTATTTTCCTCAGATGAAGGATGCTCAGTGACAAGCCTGCTGCTTTTCACTCTGAAGCAGGAAACAACATCAAGGTTTTCCTATTTCTGGTCTTTTGGTTCATGTACAGGGCAGGGGGATGTTTCCACAAATGCTTTAATCAGTTTACTAAAGAAGCTCAGAAATTCCTGGGCACAGAAAAGCTTTTGTGAGAACTGGAATAACTATCATTAAATAACTTGGACTTTGCTGCAACCACAGTTGTTTTTTTCCTAGGAAAAAATAAAGAACAGAAGGTATCCTCAGCCTTTTTGAATTTTGCTAAAATCCTTAACTTACTGATCACACTTTTTTATACCCAGGTAGTGTTACAATATCATTCCCACCCTTTCCTGCAATTTTTGCTGATGAGACACAGTGCAATAAGTGCTGTGGGAATCATAGACATCCCCTTATATGTGAAGGCTTCTCACTCTGGTTTATAAGCATCTTTGCCTCAATTAAGTTGACGATGATTATTTAAAACAGTTGATTTTGGCCTGATTCCAAAATATAGGTCTTAACACACCACGGTTTCCCAGTGGTCTCATTAATTACATGTGCTTGTAATAGCATCTACAAGATTTGCAGTTATAGTGTCACCTTTTTTTTTTTTTTAGATCTTGTGCTTTGCAGCCTTCTACAGTAACAAATCTGAGGGCCTTTAACCTGCTCACCCAGTTGAACAAACAAACAGACCAATTGCCCAAGCACGGCAAGATTTTCCTGAGATGAAATGGCTTGGTCTTTTAATTAGTGTCCACTCATGTTTTATCTGACCTCAAAGCTGCTGCATCAACTTGCAAGCTACTGTAGCAAATGCAGGTTGTCTTTTTGATTTCTCAGTAACAGAAATAGATAATAATTTGACTGCAGCTTTCCAAGGCTTATGAAGGAGTTTTGCTATGGAAGCACTAGTGCAAGTCAGTGGCCATGGGGCATGTAAAGATCTTAGCTGCCTTTTGAAATTCTTGGTCTGAGTCTCCAACAACAGGAATGAGCCAGGCAGTGATAAGAGAAAGGGACTCTCTTCTTGTAGGAGTCTGCTCTTTTTTCTAAAATAAAATGGGTTTTGTGTCCATCATGGGTTTTGTTCATGCATCAAAAGTCCATCCTTTTAAGATGCATAATAAAACAATATAATTAGAAGTTGCATCTGTTGCAGGAAATCCAGTTTACATCAGAATGCTCTTTTACAGTAAGAATGTTATGATTCAGCAAATTCAGTGTTTTTCCATGCTCAATTAGCTGCCTTTAATCTGTTTTGGTGCTTCACTGTTGGTATAATAAGCAGATCAAATAAAGTTTGAATTCTTGAATCAAAGCAAATGCCACTGATTTCAAGCTGGCGGCCCATCGTGTTTGGTTCTGTGATTCACTTTGTTATACCTTTCTTCCTTAAAAGAGAATTGTCTTGTGCTGTAATGAAACACAAGCAGTGCTTGGAGTAACATACTGCAGGATTTTGCTTATTTAAATACCATCTGTTTGCTGTCCAGAGTCATCCTCCCACACTGTGCTCATTCATCCTGTTATGGCTTTCTGAAGATTGGATTGTAGTTTCTCAGTGAAGCCCTCAAATCTCTGCCACCCAACCCCTCCTTCCATTTCTAGGTGCAGTTGTAAAGACTAATCTCTTGGGTTTTTTTGGTAACATGCAAAGGAGAAAGATTCTTATGCTCTGAGAGCTGGCAAAGCAAGGGCAGCGGCTGAGTGAGCCAGTTCTCGGTGCTGTTTAGCACTCATTGCTGTGACTTCATCACTGAATTTTTGCTCTTCTTTTAGAGCCTCTGAAAGAAACATGTTAGTTATATGCCCGAGTCGCAAATACTCTCATGCTTTAGGGCTTATTTTTGCTTTAAGTTTTTTCTAACTTACATAATTGGTTGT